CTTAACATATATTGCATTATTTGTTTCAGAGGTACAGACCTGAGATTCAACAGTCTTGCACAATTCACAGCGCTTACCAGAGCACATACCCTCTCCAGTGTCTACGGCGACTTGCAAATAGGCTGGAGGGGGTCGAGGGTGGGACAAGGAGACCTTCTTTTTCTCCTGTGTAGAAGCAAGTGAGAATTCCCTCAAAGCCCTGCTACCCACTGCCACTCTACTCTGGGAAAGGAATAACCAACCTTAAAATACCTGGTGTAACTAAAGCACTCATATATAAGGGATACTTTGTTTTCCATGGTTTTATGTGGTTTCTGGGTTTTTCTCGCTGATCTTGTCTTAATATATTTACTTATTAGTTCCTTTAGACTTTCTGTGTTGAAGGCTTCAAAGTGCCGATGTTGCCTCATCCTGAGGTTGACGCTGATACTTGGTTAGCAGTATTGAACATTTTAACACAGTCCGAAATACTTTGATACTTTATTTTTGAACTAGGACATGAACGGTAAGCTGTAATTATTGATGGGTTTTGATTCACCTTCGACTCTACAACTTTTACTTTTCCTTCCTCATCAGAAAAACCACAAGTGTGTACTGAAGTGATTCTTGTCTGTGAAGGGGAAGCAAGTGACTTTGAATTGCTTTGCAATACCAGGGACTGACTCTGGGGACCAAAGAAAGTTATACATTCCAAAGACGATTGTCCATCCATTTTGACTATGCGGATGTATACAAATATTTTTTTTTAAAAACTGAGGATGGATATTTAACAGATATAAAGTGTGTGTTATTCCCTTTAAAATAGTCAATTTAAGATGCTTTCCATTTATACTGACTCATTCATTCATTCATTCATTCATTCAATAATGAATCTTTCAATTCAATCTTTTGGCCTCCAACTATGTATACCATACCAAAGATGAATAAAAGTATATATTTCTCAAGTAGTTGAAGGGGGTAAAGACAATAAATAAACAAACAAAAAAATTAAAACCCAAGTCCTATATGCATAATAGAGTCACAAATAAGATATTTTGAAAGTTTAGTGGAAAGGTAACTGACATCTGGAAGAACTAAAAGCCATCCCTCAAACATGACTGAGCTTTTTCTTTTCTTTTCTTTTTTTTTGTTTAATTACCTTTGAGTCAGCTTACAAACCACCGAAGAGAAACAGGTTTTCACTATTTCATAGTCACACATATTTTTTACCCCAAACTTGGCTCCAAATTTTCCTTTAACTGTTTCCAAAAATCAGATTCAAGGACAAAGATTTGTGCCACAAAGACTGGTCAAATGAGTGTCAAAACTCCTAAAGGAAACTCAACAGTGTGGCTTTGAACCTAACAAAACAAATGGAATCGGTATATTGATCAAAACCATCCCAAGGCAAAGAATCACTCTCCAGGCTTCACCCATGGGAAAAGTGAGCACACAGAGTGAGTCTACAGAGGCACAAACTCAACCTCCATCAGTGAGTGAGGCAGTCCCCTGCAGGTTACCTGTGGGCTCTTGTTACAGGGGTGAGGATTTACTCAGCAGCATCCTGTGCCCATTGTGGCCAGATAGATTTCTCAAGAGAAACCGGAAATTTAGATGTTTGTATGACTTCTCCAAGATTGCAAAATTTTGTCTACAAAATTCAGAAAAACTATTTCTTTAAACACTTGAAAAGCCAAACAAAATGTAACACATCTGCAGGGTGGGCCTGGCAAAGAGGCACCAGGATGTGGCCTCTGCCTTATGCTCAGGCCTCGCCGGAGCCAGTCGGGATTTCTGTGGGTAACTATAAAAGTCTCGTTGAATTTTTAAAAATCAGAGGAATAAGAATGGATCGATTGAGTGTGCCAGTCATCTTGCTTAGCTATAGACATCGCAATGCCTGTAGTGATGTCTTGCCAGGGTCTTGTTTCTTTTTTTTTTTTTTTTAAGATTTTATTTATTTATTTGAGAGAGAGATTGAGAGACAGAGAGCATGAGAGGGAAGAGGGTCAGAGGGAGAAGCAGACCCCCTGCTGAACGGGGAGCCCGATGTGGGACTCGATCCCGGGACTCCAGGATCATGACCTGAGCCGAAGGCAGTCACTTAACCAACTGAGCCACCCAGGCGCCCCTGGGTCTTGTTTCTATTCCAAATAGTCTGAGGAATAGCTTCACTCTCCAAAGGACAACAGAACTTTCCTGGTTAGCACAAGGTTAATAATGACTGTTTCATCCTCAGTCCTAAACGACTCTGCTTAAATGATGGAAGACTATAATCTAGTACAGCAGTAAAGATGAGAGGCTAAGAGTTTGTAAGATTCCTTAAGTTTTATTCTACAGAAATATTTAAACTCTTCTCCCTCAGTGCTTGAAACTTGAGACACAGATAAGGCCAAAACACCAAATAAAACCAACTTATCTGTGTTTGAAGGATGACTTCTCAATGTGAGCAACAGTTCTTCTTGGCTTTGAAAAACGGAGATTATTTTAGTAATTATTTTACCAGCTGTTCCAGAGCTAGTCCAGCTTTCTCCAATTCCCAGTAATACACAAAAGACATTTAGCCCAGTCAAAGAAGAAAAATAACCACATGGCTTTTTAATCTTTGTGAGACATAGAAAAAATTATTTTCCATGTGTTAATTTATTTTTAAGATTTTATAAAGCATCTTTTCTCTTTCCTTTTTGTAAGCACAAACATACGCTCTTTGGGAGAAGCTTGGATAACTATGTGACCTTGTACCGATTATGAGAACTCTCTGAGTCTTGGCTTCCTCATTTATAAAATGGTGTTACAAATAATAGCATAAAACTACACGGCTTTCTCCAAATGCCAACAAAACGTGTAACATTTCCCAAACTTACACAAAAATTTAAATGTCTCCTTTCCATATTTAAATCACTCAACTCACACCCCTAACAGAATAAAACAATGTCATTTTCGCATACACAATGCATGATTTATACTTAATTTCTGGAAAGGTTTGAGAACTGCCAGTGAAAATGCATCTACAAAGGGAGAGCCCGTGGAGTCAGGAAGGGATGCTTGCCCCTCTGGGATGGAGGAGAGATGGCTTGTTATCAGGCAGATAGCAGAATGAGTGAAGTGAACCCTGAAGTGTAAAGTGCAATTGAGAGTAATAGAAACTGGGGAAACATGGAAAGCACATATCCCATCTAGAGGGAGCTGCTGTCCAGGCCTTCACTTTCTGGTTGTCTGCAGTCTCTGCCACTCCCGTTGTCCAACAAAACCTCGGGTTGCCAAGAATCTGAATGTGTATGTCTGCCGCTTTGCTATTTGCTTTCTATGTGCCTCATGTCTTTTCTTTCCCTCTGTTCCTCCTTCACCTCTTTAAATTTGTGATAATTTTTTTTATTATACCAGGCTAATTCCTCTGTTGAATTTTAGCTTTTTTAAAAGTGTTTTTCTTAGTCGTTGCTGTAAAAGTTCTAACAGGCATCTTAAACTTACCATCTACTTAGGATTGATACTGACTTAATTCTGGTAAAATACAGTGTTTTTTTCTGTAATACCTTTCCATTATTTTTTTAAGATTTCATTTATTTATTAGAGAGAGAGAAAGAGAGAGCAAGCACAGAAGTGGGGGGGGGCAGAGGGAGAGGGAGAAGCAGACTCCCTGCTGAGCAGGGAGCTCAGTGCTGATGCTGGACTTGATCCCAGGACCCTGAGATCATGACCTGAGCCAAAGGCAGACGTTTAATCGACTGAGCCACCCAAGCATCCCCATTTCCTCATCCTTTTTTTGCTATTAGTCTTATATATATTAATCTATACGCATTATTAAGCCAATGATGCAGTGTTATCATCATTGTTTTAAGCAACCATGTTTTTTAGAGAAATTAAGAGAACAGAGTACATGTACACACATACATACACACACAGATTTTTTTTCCCCTTGAATATGAGTCACTTTTCCTTGTCTCTTTGCATGTATTATAAGGTTGGGTTGAATGCTGGACTTCCAGGTACTGTGTTATAGCAACTCTGGATTCTGATTATTTTTCTGACATTTTTTAATACTCCCCTGGACTTAGAGCTACAGATTTGTCCTGCTGTTTTCTACCTTTGCCATTTTCATACCTCACTACCAACCCCACCAAATCAAGTCTACCCCTCTGGTGGCTAAAGCCTAGAAACTCTCACTATTCTTATCCAAAGCCCTAGTAGCTTTT